CGAGGGTACTAGCGCGGATAGTCGAGTTTATAGACTGGAGTTGTATTGCGCCACTCGTAAATGTTGTTACCTGACTCGTCTACCTCGTGACCAGCTGCCACCCAACACATCTTGCCAGGAGTGCCAAATTCTAGCTATTTCGACGGAAAGGCACCACCAAAACCGCTAAGCGACGTTAATCACGCAGCAGTGTCCGATAAGTCTCACGGACGGTGTACATCGGACAATCTCTGGTTCGACACACAGCTCCTAACGTGATGGACTAATACTGACCAAAAAGTGTATCGTCAAATCATATGGGAAGCCCGCGTGTGTCCTCAACTTCAGGAGTAGTGCTCGACGTGCGCACGCTCGTAGCTAAACCAGATCATACAGGAAGCAAACACAATGAACGGTGCGTTTTAGTGCAGGACTGATGGAAAACGAACGAATCAGCTAGGAATGTATGGACGCCAGATACGGTCGTTGATCCAACCTTCGGTCACAATGTACCAGCTGCGTCGTGTCATGATGCATAAACCTTCCGCATCGCTGGCTAGACGCATGAATGGCAGTCCCAGGACTCAGCACAAAACGATTCCAGTCCCAGGACTCAGTATCCAACTGTTTCAGCGGCCTAATCATTGCGATCCAATTTCTTTCGCATCACCACAAATGACGATGGTCTCGTAACCTTGTATCGGACAAGATAAGATACCGGATACAGCGGGTCAGCGCGTACCATGAGCCTAACCATAGTTTCATGCTCAGCTATTTCCGGTATCCGTTGTAGCCGTAAATAGCACAACAAAATAATGCCTCCATATGTGCCCCAACGTTTTTTCGTGTTCAGCTATTTCCGGCGTCTGTTGATAGTTTCCAAAAACCTACCACCTGTATCAGACGCGAGTCCGCTTTTCACTGCCCAGGAGTTATATCTCCCATGAAAATAACTTATGCTCGCAGTAATCGACACTGATCATTCGTTAACCGGTAAGCGTCAAAACTGCCCCGCGTCCTTCCTTGCTTTCATTCTGGTGGCTCTGTGTGTTGTAGCTTGCTCATCCAAGTCCAGAGGGCACGTGTGTGACCCCAACATAATCAAGGATTACCATGTCCCGAAGTCCTACTCGTCGGCGAAAGCCTCTGTGAAGTCTTCCTAGCTTTTGCTGTACCATGTGTGTTACAGGACAGCCGGCTGGTCAACACTTTGCGCTCTGAAGAGTGTTCGTCATCCGTGATGAGTGCGTTTCAGCCTCATGCGGTTTGCTCTAGATCGTTGTGCTGCGCTTCTGGCACGATCGATGCGGTGTTTCTCCTGTGCTTGCAGCTGGTATGTTCGAACAGCTTGCGGCGCTAAGATTGAATCGTGTCGAGAAATAGGGTAGTAGAGCTTCTGTATGCCCGAAGGTAGAGAAAGTGTCCACGGTACACAGCTGGCATGTCTCGAGTCAACATGTGCACAGGTGGCATGACCAGTGTCTGCATGCGGACGGACGAGTTGGCATGACCAGTCTTCGTTGGCGGTCCAAAATATCGGAGAAGGCCTGGGTCAGTACTCCATCCAGTTTCCAATTTTCTTTGCGCTCGGCAGTAGCAGCAAAGTCAAGTGTTGTTTACGCTCCATCCCGTCCAAGTTCCATTCTTCTGCATCCTACTGCTAGTCTTGTTGTCCAAAACATGAACCCTACCAAGATAATCTCTCACCTCGTACTCGTCGCGGCTGCAATGGGGTTGCTCGCAGAAGCTGGCAGCTATAGCAGCTACAGCCAGCAGACCCAACAAAGCAGTCTTTTGAATAAAGACGCTGACCTAAAGACCACGGGCCCAGACAAGGTGATCCCTGCGTCGAGTCCAAGCGCTTCTGCTGGAGCTTCAACGTCTGTACCTGCACCGAACACTTCCGGAGCGGGTTCCGGCACCTCTCTCGAATCCGGACAGCAACCGACCGGGCGTCCTACCTGTATCCTCTACTCCAACCAGCAGGAATAGCGACGTGTCGGTCAGTTCTCACAGTTTCAGCTCGTCTCAGGGCGGTCGGAACGATGCTACTGGAGACAACAGTCCTATCGTACGTGGAGGTGGTGTTGTTGTAGCTGGCGGTGCTGGTGGCGCCATTGGAGGCGGTCTATCAGGTGGTGCTCGAGGCAATGTTGGTGGTGGAGCTGGTATCGGTGCTGTCGGCGGAGTTGGTGCTGGTGCTAGTGGGGGAGTGCGAGGCGGTCTCGGAGGCATTGAGGCATCGGAGGCGGCATCGGCGGGCATGTTGGAGGCGGCGTTGGCGGTTCAGTCGGTGGCGGAGCAGCGGGCGGAGTTAATGCTGGAGTTGGTGGCGGCATCGGTGCCGGTGCAGCTGGCGGTGCTGGTGGCGCCATCGGAGGCGGTCTATCAGGCGGTGCTCGAGGAAATGTTGGTGGTGGAGCTGGTATCGGTGCTGTCGGCGGAGTTGGTGCTACTGGGGGAGTGCGAGGCGGTCTTGGAGGCATTGGAGGCATCGGAGGCGGCATCGGCGGGCATGTTGGAGGTGGCGTTGGCGGTTCAGTCGGTGGCGGAGCAGCGGGCGGAGTTAATGCTGGAGTTGGTGGCGGCATCGGTGCCGGTGCAGCTGGCGGTGCTGGTGGCGCCATTGGAGGCGGTCTATCAGGCGGTGCTCGAGGCAATGTTGGTGGTGGAGCTGGCATCGGTGCTATCGGCGGAGTTGGTGCTAGTGGGGGAGTGCGAGGCGGTCTTGGAGGCATTGGAGGCATCGGAGGCGGCATCGGCGGGCATGTTGGAGGCGGCGTTGGCGGTTCAGTCGGTGGCGGAGCAGCGGGCGGAGTTAATGCTGGAGTTGGTGGCGGCATCGGTGCCGGTGCAGCTGGCGGTGCCGGTGGCGCCATCGGAGGCGGTCTATCAGGCGGTGCTCGAGGCAATGTTGGTGGTGGAGCTGGTATCGGTGCTGTCGGCGGAGTTGGTGCTGGTGCTAGTGGGGGAGTGCGAGGCGGTCTCGGAGGCATTGGAGGCATCGGAGGCGGCATCGGCGGGCATGTTGAGGCGGCGTTGGCGGTTCAGTCGGTGGCGGAGCAGCGGGCGGAGTTAATGCTGGAGTTGGTGGCGGCATCGGTGCCGGTGCAGCTGGCGGTGCCGGTGGCGCCATTGAGGCGGTCTATCAGGCGGTGCTCGAGGCAATGTTGGTGGTGGAGCTGGCATCGGTGCTGTCGGCATGGAGTTGGTGCTGGTGCTGTGGGGGGAGTGCGAGGTGGTCTTGGAGGCATTGGAGGCATCGGAGGCGGCATCGGCGGGCATGTTGGAGGCGGCGTTGGCGGTTTAGTCGGTGGCGGAGCAGCGGGTGGAGTTAATGCTGGAGTTGGTGGCGGCATCGGTGCCGGTGCAGCTGGCGGTGCTGGTGGCGCCATTGGAGGCGGTCAATCAGGCGGTGCTCGAGGCAATGTTGGTGGTGGAGCTGGTATCGGTGCTGTCGGCGAGCTGGTGCTGGTGGGGAGTGCGAGGCGGTCTTGGAGGCTTGGAGGCATCGGAGGCGGCATCGGGCCGGTGCAGCTGGCGGTGCTGGTGGCGCCATCAGAGGCGGTCTATCAGGCGGTGCTCGAGGCAATGTTGGTGGTGGGGCTGGTATCGGTGCTGTCGGCGGAGTTGGTGCTAGTGGGGGGAGTGCGAGACGGTCTTGGAGGCATTGGAGGCATCGGAGGCGGCATCGGCGGGCATGTTGGAGGCGGCGTTGGCGGTTCAGTCGGTGGCGGACAGCGGGTGGAGTTAACGCTGGAGTTGGTGGCGGCATCGGTGCCGGTGCAGCTGGCGGTGCTGGTGGCGCCATCGGAGGCGGTCTATCAGGCGGTGCCTCGAGGCAATGTTGGTGGTGGAGCTGGTATCGGTGCTATCGGCGGAGTTTGCTGGTGCTAGTGGGGGAGTGCGAGGCGGTCTCGGAGGCATTGGAGGCATCGGAGGCGGCATCGGCGGGCATGTTGGAGGCGGCGTTGGCGGTTCAGTCGGTGGCGGAGCAGCGGGCGGAGTTAATGCTGGAGTTGGTGGCGGCATCGGTGCCGGTGCAGCTGGCGGTGCTGGTGGCGCCATCGGAGGCGGTCTATCAGGCGGTGCTCGAGGCAATGTTGGTGGTGGAGCTGGTATCGGTGCTGTCGGCGGAGTTGGTGCTGGTGCTAGTGGGGGAGTGCGAGGCGGTCTTGGAGGCATTGGAGGCATCGGAGGCGGCATCGGCGGGCATGTTGGAGGTGGCGTTGGCGGTTCAGTTGGTGGCGGAGCAGCGGGTGGAGTTAATGCTGGAGTTGGTGGCGGCATCGGTGCCGGTGCAGCTGGCGGTGCTGGTGGCGCCATTGGAGGCGGTCTACCAGGCGGTGCTCGAGGCAATGTTGGTGGTGGAGCTGGTATCGGTGCTGTCGGCGGAGTTGGTGCTAGTGCTACTGGGGGAGTGCGAGACGGTCTCGGAGGCATTGGAGGCATCGGAGGCGGCATCGGCGGGCATGTTGGAGGCGGCGTTGGCGGTTCAGTCGGTGGCGGAGCAGCAGGCGGAGTTAATGCTGGAGTTGGTGGCGGCATCGGTGCCGGTGCAGCTGGCGGTGCTGGTGGCGCCATTGGAGGCGGTTTATCAGGTGGTGCCTCGAGGCAATGTTGGTGGTGGGGCTGGCATAGGTGCTGTCGGCGGAGTTGGTGCTACTGGAGGAGTTCGAGGTAGTGTTGGAGGTGGTGTTGGAGGTGGTGTATCGGGTGGATCGGAACGTGATCTTACGGGTGGTGTTACCTTGGGAAGTGAAACAAACGTCTCCGGTCCTACTGATGACAGTGAGGAGCTGCCTACGGTCGATCAGAAGTCTGAGGAATCGGACTCACCGACGACCCCGTGCCCCGATGGCAGCGGCAAACCGCCTAATGTCGACCAGAAGTCTGAGGAATCAGAGTTGCCGAAGACCCCATGCCCTGATTCGGCCTCGGGTACTCCGCCCGTGAAGTCCGGCAAGTCCGATGTCTAAACCCGGACACTATTTTGCTCGTGCGGTGCACCTGTGAGACGCAAGTTACTGGTGGCACTTTATGGTACTGTCCTGAGTAGCGTACGATAATCCATAATTGTCACAAACCAAATCCATGTTATGTTGTTAAGAGAGTGTGTGCTGGTAGTGTCCTGCAAGCTGCGCTCGTACCGTGTCAGGCTTGCCGGTGAGTATACGATCTTGGTACGATGATCATGATTGTTGAGGCGCAACGACTTTGTCCGCACGCGTGACCCATGTCTTTGGCAGGTGTGTGAACTACTGCAACGTCCAGAAGAACCGCAAGCAAAACCCCAATGAGATTAGCACCAGTTTATGCAGCTCAATCTGAAGACGTCCGCTTCTCCTTACCATTCTCTGCACCACGTCGACTTTACCGTCCATTTTTCTTCAGTTTCCTCGGTACGCTACACGGTCGCGTCGTTTCTGGACTTGTGCCTTGCCTTGTTTATAGAGCAGTTTCCGGAGGCAACATACGGACTTCAACATCGCAACAAGAGTGGATGCCGCGTCCACAGCTCCTCCTCGGATCTAATTCTTCAGCAGATGGTGATCAGTATGGACAAGCATCGCACAAAGCTTTGTGGTGCGCGCTCCGGCAACTCACCGTATGATCGATTGTTTGTGTCACATTCTCATGTTGGTTTTTCGCTCATAGATAATTGGCTGTGCGTCTTAGTCTGCGCATGGCTTTGCGGTATACATCTCGGTACATGTCATACAAGACGTAGGTTTCAGGACTAGATCTGCCTGTACAAATGCAAGCAAACACACTCTGTAAGCTGGTGCATGTACGCGTGAACATACGCGCTTGGAAAGCGACGACACATCAAGATCTTTGCACACACGAACGAGCCCCAGCTTACTAGCATGGGATGGGTAGGAGCATGAATGTAGCGGAGCTACACAGCTCCTTAAGTCAGAGGAAGACTTAACGCTCTACGAGCAACTTAGTTCCAAAGAACTAACGACTTTACGAGTCAGCAAGCTTTACAGCTTCAGATCCCTGTTCCAGGGGACCTAACGATTCAGTGAATCGACAGCACTTAGTGCTCAAGAGTAGCTACCTCAAGGAGGTGTTGCTAACTCTTAGTGATCAGAGATCAACGATCAAGACGGCTCGCAAGCCACGCGTCTTTCAGATCAAAATGGGAACTGATTTTATTTAATGTTAAAGCCTATAGAATATCTTAATCCTACTCAAAGATCTTTCGTATCTAATGGCTGACACTTGTCAGCCCCTACAAACCGATAAGATATTCTATATCACCTTCACAGAAGCGAACCCTCAGGTGTGTAACACCTCTGGTACAAAGTACCATGATTTCGTGCAACCCCGTTACACCCTCCCCCACCAGACTGACGTTTACCCAAAACGTCAATCGAACTCGTATTCTCAGCGAGAACAGTGCGCGTACGGTGAACCTCACGGTAACGTACGCTCTAGCACGATGTCCTCATCACCAAACGAGTCAAAGGCTCTGTGTGACTACCTCGGAATAGAGGAAGAGGTGGACTATGGTAGCGATACCAGTGTCCGCGGTGACACAGGGACAACGTCCGGCTCACTGATGCCTGAGGCACAACTTTCGAACACCCCAAATCCGTTCGCTGAACGTGGAGGTGCGAGCGCGCCGCCAGCGCAGCGTGCAGCATCTGGGTTTGATGAGACTATCATCGCGAACCCGCTCGATGAGCAACAACAACTGCTTGTTCAAAGAGAACAAAACGCTCAGCGTTATGCACAGATGACTGCAACCCTTGAACGCCAGCGTGATTATGTGTTCACCCCACCCAGTGTGGAGGAACGTCTGCGTCAAGCGGCCGGCCAAACATTGGCAACGTGGGTCATTGGCCATGGGCCTAAGACTCCTGAGGAGGTGGTGAGCTGCCAGGCACTTCGTGAGAGGTACCTGGAGCCGCACCTAACGACTCAAAGTCAATACAAGGCACGCCTTGACATGCAAGCACGTGGTGCACCAGTTCCACCGATGAAGGGTATACCCATTCTCCTGCTCGCAGGCGAAACAGCGAGTGAAGAAGACGATGCCTTTGTTCACTGGGTGCACTATGTGCGTCGCCTCAGCAACATTTTTGCTCTAAGGGCTAGTGCCCATGCGGCGGATGTGCGTCTCGAACGCAAGCTTCGGTATGATTATGCCAAGCTTAAGGCCAGAGGCCAATTGCGCAAGCGCACGCGCTATGCTTCGGCTACTAAGGTAGCCGCGAGTGCTGGTCAGTCTGTGACCAACAACCCGCCAACCCGCACCACTAGTGGTGGTGAACGGCCTCGGCCTCGCGATGACCATGGCCACGATGCTCAAAAGCCTCCAAAGCATATGGGCAGTCTTGCCGAAGGGTACCTCAAATTCCCATGAGTTTTCAGACTCAGGGTACCCACGCCACTTTACCAGATACTGATATTGGCCCTGACGACGACGTCGTTTCAGTAGTCTCTCGACATGGAATTGACGACACCCATGCTCATCGAGCAACGTCGGTGGCGGCCGGTGTACCGGTGGAGGCCCACGAGAAATTGGTTCTCGAAGTGAAGGGTCTTCAAGCGGCCTTGGGTAAGTCCCAGTGCATGCTGGATGCGATGCAAAACCGCCTTCAGGCGATGGAGCAAGCTCAAACTCGGAGCGAGGCTCAGTTGGACTTGCTGATTCGTCTACAGCAATCCGGGGCGGTGCCCTTGTCGTCGGCGCAAGCGCCTCCAAGTTCACATGGGAAGGATCCCGGTACGGCTTAAGTAAGCCTACGTAGAACACTGGATGTGTGCGCAATTTGCGTGGGAGGTTTAGCGTATACGCAAGTCCCCTTTTGGCCGTGACCGTGAACGGTCAATAAAGCGTGGACGCAACTTTGTCTTAAAGACAGCAGACACTACATTTGTAGGTAGATTTTTAGCATTGAGTAGTACTTGGTCTCCGACCTCATAACGTTCAATACAATTTCTGCTTTTGGCATCAGCTTGTTGTTTTTGGGTATCTTGGCTATCAGCCATTGCGTCACGCACATGTCTTAGGACATTTAATCGCGTTGCGAGAAACTCGCTTACCTGTTTTTGAACAGTAGCAGGGCTGATATCAGCAAGCCGATCGGCAACCTCTCCCCCACCAAGCCCTGATTCACGTAGTGATAGCGTTAACGGAACGCGAGGGTGAGTGAGACCGTTTATATAGAACGGAGTAAAGCCTGTTGAGGCATGAACAGCGTTATTCAATGCAAACTCAACAACAGGGAGCATTGAGCTCCAACGCCTAGGCGTATCAGCGCAAATACTGCGCAAAATGTCGTTGATGACGCGGTTTACACGCTCAGTTTGACCGTCGGTCTGCGGATGATCCGGCGTGACATTTCCAATCGAGTGCCAAGCACCTTGAAGATAGACTTCCAAAACTTCCCAGTGAAGCGGGGGTCTCTATCAGAGATAATTGCCACAGGCAAGCCATGTTGGCGAAACACACGGTCGATAAACAGCTTTGCTGTACCTTCCACATCGATGCTATCCGGCACAGCCGCTAAGTGAGCCATCTTGCTCAATCGGTCAACAAAGACCACAATACCAGTGTTGCCTTCCGAATCTTTCGGTAGGCCAAACACAAAATCCATGCTCATGGACTCCCAACAACCACTGGGTACTGGCAAACTAGCCAGCGGCGCCGCCGCATGTGCCGAGGGTTTTACCCGTTGACACGTTTCGCACGTACGCACATAGGTGCGCACCCACTTATAAAGTTTGGGCCACCAATAACTTTGGCTCACCGAGCTATAAGTCTTCTCACGACCGAGATGACCACTTAAAGCAGTATCATGTGCCTCATAGAGGATCCGATACTTTAATTCCTCATTATGAGGTACTACGATACGAGGGTTGTCCTCAATATCCGTGCGATAGCACAATAGGCCATTATCGATGGAATATCGATGTAGCCTCGCACGTAAACGTGCCGACAATTCTATGTCCGAGTCTTTAAACTCATTGCTCCCAAGAGCACGTAGCAAAGCTACACACTGATCGTCCTTGGCATATGCCGCACGAATTAAGTCAGGGACTGACGACGACAGGGTCGTAACATGAGCAAGCTCATAGTCAGGTCGACGCGATAGCGCATCAGCCAAAGCGTTTTGCTTACCTGGCTTGTACTTCACCTCGAAGTTATATTCGGCAAAGAAAGATAGCCAACGAGCCATTCTCTGTGAGAGATGAGGCGACTGTGTCGCAGTGCGCAATGACGCATGATCGGTATAGATCACAAATGGCTTCGAGCCAAGCAGATGGACTCTGAATTTGACAAGAGCGTACTTCATAGCAAGTAGCTCTTTGTCATGAACAGGATAGTTCTTTTCAGCAGCTTTCAGCTGTCGAGATTCAAATGCGATGACGCGTTCGCGTCCGTCGACATCTGTTTGTAACAGAGCACTGCCTATGGCAAAGTCAGATGCGTCACAGACGACACTGAAAGGCCGACCAGAATCGGGCAAAGCCAAAATTGGCGCATGGAGGAGACTCTCCTTAACTGCTTCAAAAGCATTATGTTCGGTGTTACCCCAACACCAACCCACATCCTTTTTAAGGAGATTGGACAATGGCCGAGCCATATCTGCGTAATTTGCACTATACTTATGTAAGTAATTGGCAAGGCCAAGCCATTTACGCAAGTCCTTTTGGTTCTTGGGGACTGGCCAATCGACTATGGCTTTTACCTTAGCGGGATCCGCTCGAAGGCCTCGCTTCCCAATGAAGCACCCTAGAAAGGGAATCTCTTCTGCACCAAAGATGCACTTCGATGCGTTCGCATACAGCTTATTCGTTCGCATGCACTCGAGCACAGCTCGTAAATGATCAATGTGGTTATCCACATCTGATCGCCCATTCATTGCACGACTATGGACAAAAATGTCATCAAAGTACGTTTGTGCATAGCCTCGATGAGGTCTGAATAGTTGCGTTACCAACCGGTTAAACGTAGCCGGGGCGTTAGATAGCCCCTTGCGGCATAACGAGCCACTCCCAAAGCATACCGCTCGGAGTACTCACCGCTGTTAGCGGAATATCGCTTGCTCGCATGAGCAGTTGGTAATAACCATCGACTAAGTCGAGTGCACTGTACAGTGTACATCCCGCCATATTGTTCTGAAGAACATCCTTTCGAGGAATAGGCGTCTGCGCCGGTATAGTAGCTGCATTAAGCTTATTGTAAGCATGCACAATACGCCACTTGCCATTTGGCTTTTTGACGCAAAATGTCGGTGTTGAGTGGGGAGATTTGCTCTCACGAACCATCCCAGCCGCGTGCTTAGCACGAAAGAAATCGTCAATGACGTCGCACTGTTCTTTAGGCAAAGGCCACTGCCGTGTTACACAGTATTTAGTTCCAGGAACCAAGTCAATCTCATGACGTACACCTCTATCGGGAGGTAAGGCAGAAGGTGGGTTGTGACACACCACATCTTGAAATTCCTTGACTAAAGGATAGAACGGATCCGACGGATCTTTAAGGATCGAAGATCCACTTCGTGCACTAAGTGCCGCCTTTGTATCCTCTAGGACAGACTCATCCATTAACGAGGAAGAGTTCAACTCAGTATCAGGTCTAATGACCGCTAACTCGGATAACTCTCCTGCCTTCAAGGCCTGGCTAAACTCGCCATCAGACATTTCGTCTAGCTCACAAAGAGCGTCCACGGATGGAAGGGTTTCAAGGCAAACACTGCCATCAACCCGACCAGTCACTCCATTAACAAGTGTATACAGTGTATTGATAATCTCACTATGTGACTGTGAGGACGCCTGGCGCTTTACAGCTGCTACTCGGCGTCTCGATTGTCTCTTCGAGACCTTACTCCCCTTAGGGGTCGGGACAATATTGTCCCCATGGTTACTACCAACCATAGTATGCTCTATACGAGAGCTTTTGTCTTGACCGACATTAGGTGTGGTGCCCTCACGGCCGCCCACACCATATGGCGAATCGCCAACAACGCCATTACCGGCGTTAAGCGTGGTGCCCTCACGGCCGTCCACACTATACGGCGTATCGCCAACAATGTCATTACTGTCATTAGATGTGGTGCCCTCACGGCCGCCCACACTATACGGCGTATCGCCAACAATGTCATTACTGACATTAGGTGTGGTGCCCTCACGGCCGCCCACACTATACGGCGTATCGCCAACAATGTCATTACCGACATTCAGTGCGGTGCTCTCACGGCCGACCGCACTCGGTGTAGTTTCACGTGCCACCATACACACATCAAAGGAATCACGTCCTTGATCACTCGGCCCCTAGGCCAACCATGCTTTCAGCATGCAGTGACTCGTTATCACAACGAGTACCACTCAACGGAGTACGTGCCGTTTCAACTAGTTTTAGACGAGCTAGGCTCGAAACTTATGTTTGTAACATGGGAGTTAGATAACTCGGACATTCCAATATCCAGCACATTGACATCTTCTGTCAAAGGCTCGCGCCAATAGCGCTTTTGCTGCCTAGCAAAGGTGGGTTCATGACTCTCCAAAGCTTCGCTAGGAACATTGCGCGTAGCGCCTAAGGTCTTAGACCTCCAATCAATCCATGGCTCATGGCGCTCAAGCCAAGCCATACCTAGGATGAGATCATATCTCGAGTCCAAATCTAGGACAAGACAGCGCTCAATACTGTCAAAGTCTAAAAACGTTATACCTAAGTTCAATGGAACTTTAGGCACCGTTACGCGACTTCCAGTCGCTAAACGAACCGTGATAGAATCACCCTCATGCGCTGTAAGCGCCTCAACATAACGCTGACTTCCCTCAAGGGAACGGCGTCGAGCATAATTGCAAGACGCTCCAGAATCGATCAATATCGACCAAGGCTTCTCGAAGCCCTTAATTTTCGCCTCGGCGACCAACAAGCCAGACTTGTATCCACGCACCATACCCGTAGGTATGGTACTCTTTGGGGCTAAGCCCTGCATTCCTTTACCTCCTAAAGGTGTAACAGAACATAGTTCTTCCCCAGTAGGGCGCCCCGCGCCTACTGGGTGTCGGCATTTCCCCGTGCCATGCCAGATGTAGCGGAGCTACACAGCTCCTTAAGTCAGAGGAAGACTTAACGCTCTACGAGCAACTTAGTTCCAAAGAACTAACGACTTTACGAGTCAGCAAGCTTTACAGCTTCAGATCCCTGTTCCAGGGGACCTAACGATTCAGTGAATCGACAGCACTTAGTGCTCAAGAGTAGCTACCTCAAGGAGGTGTTGCTAACTCTTAGTGATCAGAGATCAACGATCAAGACGGCTCGCAAGCCACGCGTCTTTCAGATCAAAATGGGAACTGATTTTATTTAATGTTAAAGCCTATAGAATATCTTAATCCTACTCAAAGATCTTTCGTATCTAATGGCTGACACTTGTCAGCCCCTACAAACCGATAAGATATTCTATATCACCTTCACAGAAGCGAACCCTCAGGTGTGTAACACCTCTGGTACAAAGTACCATGATTTCGTGCAACCCCGTTACACCCTCCCCCACCAGACTGACGTTTACCCAAAACGTCAATCGAACTCGTATTCTCAGCGAGAACAGTGCGCGTACGGTGAACCTCACGGTAACGTACGCTCTAGCACGATGTCCTCATCACCAAACGAGTCAAAGGCTCTGTGTGACTACCTCGGAATAGAGGAAGAGGTGGACTATGGTAGCGATACCAGTGTCCGCGGTGACACAGGGACAACGTCCGGCTCACTGATGCCTGAGGCACAACTTTCGAACACCCCAAATCCGTTCGCTGAACGTGGAGGTGCGAGCGCGCCGCCAGCGCAGCGTGCAGCATCTGGGTTTGATGAGACTATCATCGCGAACCCGCTCGATGAGCAACAACAACTGCTTGTTCAAAGAGAACAAAACGCTCAGCGTTATGCACAGATGACTGCAACCCTTGAACGCCAGCGTGATTATGTGTTCACCCCACCCAGTGTGGAGGAACGTCTGCGTCAAGCGGCCGGCCAAACATTGGCAACGTGGGTCATTGGCCATGGGCCTAAGACTCCTGAGGAGGTGGTGAGCTGCCAGGCACTTCGTGAGAGGTACCTGGAGCCGCACCTAACGACTCAAAGTCAATACAAGGCACGCCTTGACATGCAAGCACGTGGTGCACCAGTTCCACCGATGAAGGGTATACCCATTCTCCTGCTCGCAGGCGAAACAGCGAGTGAAGAAGACGATGCCTTTGTTCACTGGGTGCACTATGTGCGTCGCCTCAGCAACATTTTTGCTCTAAGGGCTAGTGCCCATGCGGCGGATGTGCGTCTCGAACGCAAGCTTCGGTATGATTATGCCAAGCTTCGGCTACTAAGGTAGCCGCGAGTGCTGGTCAGTCTGTGACCAACAACCCGCCAACCCGCACCACTAGTGGTGGTGAACGGCCTCGGCCTCGCGATGACCATGGCCACGATGCTCAAAAGCCTCCAAAGCATATGGGCAGTCTTGCCGAAGGGGTACCTCAAATTCCCATGAGTTTTCAGACTCAGGGTACCCACGCCACTTTACCAGATACTGATATTGGCCCTGACGACGACGTCGTTTCAGTAGTCTCTCGACATGGAATTGACGACACCCATGCTCATCGAGCAACGTCGGTGGCGGCCGGTGTACCGGTGGAGGCCCACGAGAAATTGGTTCTCGAAGTGAGGGGTCTTCAAGCGGCCTTGGGTAAGTCCCAGTGCATGCTGGATGCGATGCAAAACCGCCTTCAGGCGATGGAGCAAGCTCAAACTCGGAGCGAGGCTCAGTTGGACTTGCTGATTCGTCTACAGCAATCCGGGGCGGTGCCCTTGTCGTCGGCGCAAGCGCCTCCAAGTTCACATGGGAAGGATCCCGGTACGGCTTAAGTAAGCCTACGTAGAACACTGGATGTGTGCGCAATTTGCGTGGGAGGTTTAGCGTATACGCAAGTCCCCTTTTGGCCGTGACCGTGAACGGTCCAATAAAGCGTGGACGCAACTTTGTCTTAAAGACAGCAGACACTACATTTGTAGGTAGATTTTTAGCATTGAGTAGTACTTGGTCTCCGACCTCATAACGTTCAATACAATTTCTGCTTTTGGCATCAGCTTGTTGTTTTTGGGTATCTTGGCTATCAGCCATTGCGTCACGCACATGTCTTAGGACATTTAATCGCGTTGCGAGAAACTCGCTTACCTGTTTTTGAACAGTAGCAGGGCTGATATCAGCAAGCCGATCGGCAACCTCTCCCCCCACCAAGCCCTGATTCACGTAGTGATAGCGTTAACGGAACGCGAGGGTGAGTGAGACCGTTTATATAGAACGGAGTAAAAGCCTGTTGAGGCATGAACAGCGTTATTCAATGCAAACTCAACAACAGGGAGCATTGAGCTCCAACGCCTAGGCGTATCAGCGCAAATACTGCGCAAAATGTCGTTGATGACGCGGTTTACACGCTCAGTTTGACCGTCGGTCTGCGGATGATCCGGCGTGACATTTCCAATCGAGTGCCAAGCACCTTGAAGATAGACTTCCAAAACTTCCCAGTGAAGCGGGGGTCTCTATCAGAGATAATTGCCACAGGCAAGCCATGTTGGCGAAACACACGGTCGATAAACAGCTTTGCTGTACCTTCCGCATCGATGCTATCCGGCACAGCCGCTAAGTGAGCCATCTTGCTCAATCGGTCAACAAAGACCACAATACCAGTGTTGCCTTCCGAATCTTTCGGTAGGCCAAACACAAAATCCATGCTCATGGACTCCCAACAACCACTGGGTACTGGCAAACTAGCCAGCGGCGCCGCCGCATGTGCCGAGGGTTTTACCCGTTGACACGTTTCGCACGTACGCACATAGGTGCGCACCCACTTATAAAGTTTGGGCCACCAATAACTTTGGCTCACCGAGCTATAAGTCTTCTCACGACCGAGATGACCACTTAAAGCAGTATCATGTGCCTCATAGAGGATCCGATACTTTAATTCCTCATTATGAGGTACTACGATACGAGGGTTGTCCTCAATATCCGTGCGATAGCACAATAGGCCATTATCGATGGAATATCGATGTAGCCTCGCACGTAAACGTGCCGACAATTCTATGTCCGAGTCTTTAAACTCATTGCTCCCAAGAGCACGTAGCAAAGCTACACACTGATCGTCCTTGGCATATGCCGCACGAATTAAGTCAGGGGACTGACGACGACAGGGTCGTAACATGAGCAAGCTCATAGTCAGGTCGACGCGATAGCGCATCAGCCAAAGCGTTTTGCTTACCTGGCTTGTACTTCACCTCGAAGTTATATTCGGCAAAGAAAGATAGCCAACGAGCCATTCTCTGTGAGAGATGAGGCGACTGTGTCGCAGTGCGCAATGACGCATGATCGGTATAGATCACAAATGGCTTCGAGCCAAGCAGATGGACTCTGAATTTGACAAGAGCGTACTTCATAGCAAGTAGCTCTTTGTCATGAACAGGATAGTTCTTTTCAGCAGCTTTCAGCTGTCGAGATTCAAATGCGATGACGCGTTCGCGTCCGTCGACATCTGTTTGTAACAGAGCACTGCCTATGGCAAAGTCAGATGCGTCACAGACGACACTGAAAGGCCGACCAGAATCGGGCAAAGCCAAAATTGGCGCATGGAGGAGACTCTCCTTAACTGCTTCAAAAGCATTATGTTCGGTGTTACCCCAACACCAACCCACATCCTTTTAAGGAGATTGGACAATGGCCGAGCCATATCTGCGTAATTTGCACTATACTTATGTAAGTAATTGGCAAGGCCAAGCCATTTACGCAAGTCCTTTTGGTTCTTGGGGACTGGCCAATCGACTATGGCTTTTACCTTAGCGGGATCCGCTCGAAGGCCTCGCTTCCCAATGAAGCACCCTAGAAGGGAATCTCTTCTGCACCAAAGATGCACTTCGATGCGTTCGCATACAGCTTATTCGTTCGCATGCACTCGAGCACAGCTCGTAAATGATCAATGTGGTTATCCACATCTGATCGCCCATTCATTGCACGACTATGGACAAAAATGTCATCAAAGTACGTTTGTGCATAGCCTCGATGAGGTCTGAATAGTTGCGTTACCAACCGGTTAAACGTAGCCGGGGCGTTAGATAGCCCTTGCGGCATAACGAGCCACTCCCAAAGCATACCGCTCGGAGTACTCACCGCTGTTAGCGGAATATCAGCTTGCTCGCATGAGCAGTTGGTAATAACCATCGACTAAGTCGAGTGCACTGTACAGTGTACATCCCGCCATATTGTTCTGAAGAACATCCTTTCGAGGAATAGGCGTCTGCGCCGGTATAGTAGCTGCATTAAGCTTATTGTAAGCATGCACAATACGCCACTTGCCATTTGGCTTTTTGACACAAAATGTCGGTGTTGAGTGGGGAGACTTGCTCTCACGAACCATCCCAGCCGCGTGCTTAGCACGAAAGAAATCGTCAATGACGTCGCACTGTTCTTTAGGCAAAGGCCACTGCCGTGTTACACAGTATTTAGTTCCAGGAACCAAGTCAATCTCATGACGTACACCTCTATCGGGGAGGTAAGGCAGAAGGTGGGTTGTGACACACCACATCTTGAGAATTCCTTGACTAAAGGATAGAACGGATCCGACGGATCTTTGGGGATCGAAGATCCACTTCGTGCACTAAGTGCCGCCTTTGTATCCTCTAGGACAGACTCATCCATTAACGAGGAAGAGTTCAACTCAGTATCAGGTCTAATGACCGCTAACTCGGATAACTCTCCTGCCTTCAAGGCCTGGCTAAACTCGCCATCAGACATTTCGTCTAGCTCACAAAGAGCGTCCACGGATGGAAGGGTTTCAAGGCAAACACTGCCATCAACCCGACCAGTCACTCCATTAACAAGTGTATACAGTGTATTGATAATCTCACTATGTGACTGTGAGGACGCCTGGCGCTTTACAGCTGCTACTCGGCGTCTCGATTGTCTCTTCGAGACCTTACTCCCCTTAGGGGTCGGGACAATATTGTCCCCATGGTTACTACCAACCATAGTATGCTCTATACGAGAGCTTTTGTCTTGACCGACATTAGGTGTGGTGCCCTCACGGCCGCCCACACCATATGGCGAATCGCCAACAACGCCATTACCGGCGTTAAGCGTGGTGCCCTCACGGCCGTCCACACTATACGGCGTATCGCCAACAATGTCATTACTGTCATTAGATGTGGTGCCCTCACGGCCGCCCACACTATACGGCGTATCGCCAACAATGTCATTACTGACATTAGGTGTGGTGCCCTCACGGCCGCCCACACTATACAGCGTATCGCCAACAATGTCATTACCGACATTCAGTGCGGTGCTCTCTCACGGCCGACCGCACTCGGTGTAGTTTCACGTGCCACCATACACACATCAAAGGAATCACGTCCTTGATCACTCGGCCCTAGGCCAACCATGCTTTCAGCATGCAGTGACTCGTTATCACAACGAGTACCACTCAACGGAGTACGTGCCGTTTCAACTAGTTTTAGACGAGCTAGGCTCGAAACTTATGTTTGTAACATGGGAGTTAGATAACTCGGACATTCCAATATCCAGCACATTGACATCTTCTGTCAAAGGCTCGCGCCAATAGCGCTTTTGCTGCCTAGCAAAGGTGGGTTCATGACTCTCCAAAGCTTCGCTAGGAACATTGCGCGTAGCGCCTAAGGTCTTAGACCTCCAATCAATCCATGGCTCATGGCGCTCAAGCCAAGCCATACCTAGGATGAGATCATATCTCGAGTCCAAATCTAGGACAAGACAGCGCTCAATACTGTCAAAGTCTAAAAACGTTATACCTAAGTTCAATGGAACTTTTTAGGCACCGTTACGCGACTTCCAGTCGCTAAACGAACCGTGATAGAATCACCCTCATGCGCTGTAAGCGCCTCAACATAACGCTGACTTCCCTCAAGGGAACGGCGTCGAGCATAATTGCAAGACGCTCCAGAATCGATCAATATCGACCAAGGCTTCCTCGAAGCCCTTAATTTTCGCCTCGGCGACCAACAAGCCAGACTTGTATCCACGCACCATACCCGTAGGTATGGTACTCTTTGGGGCTAAGCCCTGCATTCCTTTACCTCCCTAAAGGTGTAACAGAACATATGTTCTTCCCCAGTAAGGGCGCCCCGCGCCTACTGGAGTGTCGGCTTTTCTTCGTGCCATGCCAGACTTCTGACTCGGGGTCGAGTGTTGACTCGTAGTCTGGCGTTGCTTACGTAAAAGGCAACCAGGCCGCAAGTGTTTAGTGCTTCCGCACATAAGCATCGTCTTACAACGTGTTGCTGCTCAGCAGCTCGAAGCTCAGCTTCACCTCCATCTTCAGCATAGCTGAGGATCCATCGGTTCCGGCCTATCATGAGGGAGGTGGTACCCCGAATAGTTTGCTCTCCAGAGCGAGTGATTGTATCCATTCCAACCAAGTCTGGCCGACTTGAAATTATGCTCAGCATTAAGAGCAATTCTCACAGCCTCTTCAAACGTAGAGGGGTGAACCCGAAAAACCCTTTCGTGTTCTGGCAATGCTAGCACGTATCGTTCCTTCCTTTACGGAAGATAGTCACGGGACTGCTCTTGTGGCAGAGGGTCAGACTGCATTGCAGCCATGAGCGTTCGCAGCCTAGTGGGACACATAGTCCGATACTCATTCTCTCTTACCTCCTGGCGGGTAGAAAGAAAGCGTGAGCGCGCACGCGGCCTGGTTAGGTGGAGAAAACACCTGTACCACTGAATCGAGCGACTCCCATGTAAGAAACGTATTATGTCCACCGACGTGCTACACACGTCAAGGCCCATATTCTCCAGCTCTACCATCGAGCTTCGAGATAGCCAGCGAGACCTGTTGATGGTC